AGTCACCATCCTACCAACTGCATCTACGGCTTTGCTCGGTTCGGTGACCTGTTCAGTACGTGGTATAACACAGGGAAGAATTGGTTCCGTAACTTTGTTTGTTCCCAGAATCGTTTAGCAGATTTGGAACACAGATTTGAGATTAGCGTTCGGAACCACCTAAGGCGCTATATATAATGATGCATGTATGAAAAGCGGTACAGCTGAGTGTATCAGTTTGGTTTTGGCCCTAAGAGTACAATCTTGTCCAATTTGTGCTCAGGGAAGCTCTCAAAATCTACACTGACAATAATCCTTCGAATATCTGCGGCACGCGCGTTTCCGTTAGAAGTCGGTTACCAAAACAGCCAAAAATTGAACATCGCGGACAGTATCTTTATGGGTTAATACCTCCAAAAAAGCAGCACAACTGAGACACACCTTTGTCCAAAATTGATCGTACAGCGCACAAGCAATTAAGCACCGTTCAAAAAGAACAGTTATACGAGTCTCGTTCCCTTCACCAATCTCAAAATCCAAATACATGCGCCAGTTCTTCAGCTGTTCTGCCTCCAGAGGTTTCACGTGAAAATATGGTCTCTTGATCTGAAAATCAATTTGCATTAATAGACTCATAGTAAAGCTGAGTGATACAGAAACGAAACCTGCTCTTCAAAAGGCAAGCGAGCGACAATCATTGCCTCTGTTTCTTTGTGCCATCGGTAACGCGTTGATAGTATTTCCGCGCGGAAATGTGGAAGTGCTTCCGGGTGAATCTGTAAACGGGGACAACGAAAATGTATTACAATTTGCACAATTATTTTCCAGATTGGGGAAGCTTTCACTGTAATACACTTCTCTAAAAAAACGCACAACAAATTCTAAAAAGTGAAAATTGTACCTTTTTCCGAATAACTCCTTTAGCGTTGGTGGTAGCAGCAGTCGATGCATCTCCCGACTCAGTTTCAACCACTTCCTCAGTGACGATGTTATCAATCTTAAAACATGTATTTGAGTCAATATTTATTATTCTAAGCATCTAAGAACCGTTGGACCGGCATCTGCTGTATCAGACTCGAATTGAATTCCGGGTTCTAGAAGTAAATACTCTGACAAGGAAGGACGTTCAACTTTCGTCAAGATTTCATTAGTGTATTATGTTATTCAGAAAGCGCTGAAGGTTCCTGACTTCTGCTCTCACTCTTCTCAAGCGTCTCAATATATAAGAGAAGCATCATGAAATCTTCTTCACTTCTCTCTTTGATTGCTGATCTCGAGCAATAAAACTCGACATATCAACCGTAAACACTAGTTTTCGAGGCCAGATTTCGGAAGCATAGTTTTCACAGATATTGAACGCTTGAGAAATTCGCTCTGAGACTGATTTGACGACGATTTGTGTTTGCATCTGAGCCATTGAAGGTTATAACTTCAGAGCAAAAAACTGCAACACAATTCATTAGTTGAGCCGGATGGATCTACTTGCCCTTTTAAACACCAGACAACGCAATTACAAAAGTGCCTCTCAAAAAAGGATGGAAAATCTATCCATACTCTACATCCTCGCATTATCCGGGAGCGATGGAAATCGATGGAACAGGTCTTCGAAAAATTTGTAATAAAAAACAATACCTCCCATAAAAAAGCATTTATTGGAAAGCACCAAGGATACGTTGTTTGTGCATTGCAGAACCTATATGAAACTTGAAAACTCACTTTGTTTACTCTCGGTGAACCAAGAGTGAGGAAAATCATTCGTGAGTGGTATTTTGACTGGCTATTTGATGGATATTTGCTTGGCTTAGATGGGTATTTGTCCATTTATTATGCCTTTGATCGATCTCTCACTGTTGTTTATTCGCTTATTGTTCGCTCTAGTTCTGGGAAAAAGATGGCGCGCTTTTGTTAGGTATCCGCAGCATATGAAAATCTGTTCAAAAAAAATTAAACGGTTGTTCTATCACCTCGAAGTCCCTCTATCCTCTGTTGAGTATAATCGAGTTAGCAAAAATTTTGCGCTTCATCTTAAACGCTATCTTGCCTTCTAAGAGAACATGCTTCCCGAAGTCGAAATATGAAGAATTTATTCCTATATGTGAGCAAGCGCTTAGGCAAAAAGAATTTTCCCGTTTATTTGATTCCGACGGTTGTGTCTTTACCGCTAATTCAGAGAAAGCCAACGTTTTGGCTGACTACTTTGCCACTGTGTTTTCATCATGTGACACTCCAGTTGATGTATTCCTACTCTTCTCAATTACGAGTGCCCCTTACCAATTATTGACTTCTAGCTGGTTGACCAACATTTAAGCAAAATAAAAAAAAAGCTTTCAGCTCATGCAAAGCTTTCAGCATAAGCGTTCCGTGCTGATATTAGACGACCGCTTCAACAAGTTGCTGTGAGTGCTGATAAGCTATGGCACATAAGCCATCAGGAAGACGACGGCAAACGAGTCCCAGTAGTGTAAGGGATAAGAGCACGGTGCCTGGAAAGCACAAGTACGGGTTCGAGTCCCGTCCGAGACTGAAGTTTTGTCCATAAATCGCCAACCTTTGAGACTTTCGGAACGCGTACTGCGGCGATATAACAGCAGTTAACAAAACACCAAATCAAAGCAAAATAAAAAGTTCGTGCTCTTTGCCCTCTAACCTAGTTCCGCCATTTTCCACAAAACGTTTGGCAAAAAACTCGCTTTTCCCATGAGCCACATTTTTAATATCTCTGACGGGCGAAGTGCCTACTCCGTGGAAACTATCAGTGGCCCAAACGATTCCTATGAAGCCTTCTGCTCTGAAGGCAGATGTGTTTAGACCCATCAGTGTTACACCGACACCTTGTGGAAAGAATGAAGTTATGAGGAAAACTCTGAAAGCATGTTTATTAGATTGGCTTGAAAAATATGACCTAATCTGAACAGTTTGGGTTCATCAAGAACTCATCCACTGCACTGCAGCTTCTTGAATGACCCACTTATGGATGGAAGCACTAAACCAATTGAAAAATTTTGAGGTCATCTATTTGGATCTTCTTAGCAAGGCGTTAGACATCGTGAACCACGGGAAGGTTTTAAGAAAGTACAAAGTCTCGGAATCAGAGGAGCTGTATTAACTGTCCGTGGCTCGTGTCCTACCTTGCTAATAGTGGCAATGTCGTGAATGTGTATGGAAGCCTTTCCCTGAGAAGACAATATCTCGGGAGGTAATATACTCGCTTTTATTTCTGATGTATGCAGTGGATCTTCCATCGATGCTTGCACACGGCGACACGACCGCAAACATCAAGGTGTATGCTTTCGCAGATGAAATCAAAGCCTTTACTAGTTTTGATTGTGGATAACCAGCTAGTGCAGGAGCTTTGATAAGTGACACCTTGCTCCGTGTGTCTTGATGGACCCAATAATGGGGTCTTAAGCTCAATTTTGCAAAAACTTGGGTGCTCCCTTTGGGGAAGGGAGTGCCTGAATTGGCCATACTGGGGTTACCGCGTTCTAGTATCGTTAGTCAGGCTCGTGATCTTGAGGTAACCATATCGAGGTTGATGAATTGGGAAACTCATATCTAAGGTAAAATATCCAAAGCTCTTCGGTGCCTGTATAGCTTGTTTAGGACTGTCAAGACGTCTGATCTGACCATCCCAATCAAGCTATACATGTTCCACATTGTTCCTATTTTCGAATACTACAGACAGGCCAAAATCACAAAAGCCGCAACCAAAAAAGCTAATTGTTTGCATTGAGGAAGCGGAAATACCTTCAAAGGGCTAGTTTATTACCGAGTCTTTCCAGATCCAGGCTATTCTAGGCTCATGCCGCCTTAAGGATACGGCTTAGGGAGCTTGCATTGAGAAATCTCCCAAATAGGTGGACTTTTCTCGATTCAGTCGTAGCCTTCAGAATATTCAGAGGTAAGTCTCGTCCCACTCCTTCCAAATTCTGGCGATTCAAACCTTCATCTCTTAGAAGACCTTTTTCAACATATATCTTTCGAGATCTTTGTATCACATTGGCTGCCTTCATACTTCGACGTGCGTGCCGGCACGCAGGTGAATCCGAGGTACAATCTTGCGTGCGGCGTGCGAGTGGCTATGCGACGGCGCCGTTAGAGAGGTGTTGACAACATTGGACGCCGATGGATCATGTGCCACTGCTGTCACACACTTGGATAGCGCCGCCGTCGCTTAGCCGCTCGCACGCCGCACGCAAGATTGTACCTGCGTTTCCACCTGCGTGCCGGCACGCACGTTGAAGTATGAAAGCAGACATTCGATTCTTTAATGACATTTACAGGAAATCGTTCTTCTGCAGGACATCAATCTGGTTGGATATTGCTTTGGATATTCTTATGATTGATAGGGTTTCATTATTCAAGAGGGCACAGCTGGAACTAGATTTTATGAAGTTGCTTCGTATTGATGACTTTTGATGTTTTGAATTTTGTTGACGTTTTTCAACCCGTCTTTCTCAGTGAGTCGCGTTATGTTCCTTTAATTCTATTTTTGCGTTGGTCTGAGTTTTACCTACGATCTAATGCGCACATTGGTGAGATTAACCGCTAGTCTCTCTGAGTGAGACTCTTCTCCTTTCGTTTTTCTCTGCTTATCCTGTTCATGAATTCTTGCCCAGACTATTATGTTGCATGCCTCGCCTCAGCGCAATTTGCATCATACCCGTTACGTTATGAGAGCCTTGCTCATTTCGGCCATTACTTGGTACTTGGCCACTAGCGGCTTCTATGGGCTGCTAACATATGTGTTTTGTGAGGGGAACATTTCTATTTCACTTATTGTTAGCTGACTACTGTGGAGCACCATCGAGCCAGCGTGATGGGTCTGTGTTTAGCTTTACGAGGTGCAGTGGCACCCACAAGCATGGTGAGCTTCGGGCTTTGTTATCTTTATGGCTCTCAACTAAGTATTTCATTGGTATCTTCTCCATTTCGCTCCATTTCGTTTTCGTTTTACTAACTTGACATATTTTTCCTTTTCTTCTGCCACTAACATGCACTATTAAGAGAGACACATATGTTCCTAGCCATCGGATTTCTCTGAAACGAAGAACCTCTTTCTATTGTGTTTCTATGATCATTTACAATACTTGGCCACCGGTCTTGCAACAATAATAAATAATTAAATAAGTTTTCTACCGCGGCATATATTTACCACTCCTTTTGTGCTACAATAAAGACACCGAAGTCAGATAGATTTCATTTCAAACACGATCCCATCTTTTATAACACGATCTCTTCTCAGAGAATGTATTGAATAAGCTAACGATAATATCCCACATTTTCTACATATTTTTTTGGATTTGCCCAAGTCGTACCATTCAAAAACAAAGACGTCATTTAAGAGTTTTTCGTATGCAACCTCATATCAAGAAAACAACCGCAAGTCATAATTAAGATATGCTTAGAGGTAAAAAACTATTATTTCTATGTTAATTCATACTTTAAAATTCAACGAACTTACACCAATGCTGCACTTTCGTCTTACAACATCAAAAACATCTTTGAATTCATCCTCCGATATCAGGTCACACGGGTTACACATATTCACAATAGCTTCAAACCTAAAGTTCGAAATACAGTAAAATTGCAAATAATCACACAAAATCACAACTGAAAAACCAAAGGAAAAATGCGTCCATACGTTCAAGACGGAACAATCGGTAAATTACGTTTGTCATAATAAATTCTTCAGGTAAGCTTCTGTTCTCATGAGTGCTATACACAAATATAGATCTCGCAATGGGAAAAACATCCAAGGTCTCAATGACAAACTCGCAAAGATATAGCAGTGTGGGTTGAAAAAGAACATGGGCTGAAAGTGCACTGCTCCAACACCCAGAAATTTTAGCTTTCCTACGATAATGAACTGGAGCTTTAGATTTGAGGATAACACTCGAGAGCACTATCGCAGAAAGCCTTGCACAGCCTCAAACATGGAGAACTAAGCCTCTCGACCATCGTTAGTGTGCGTCGTGAGTTACGACTGAGATTACTTCGCGAATAGGTGCGAAGCGTCCTCTATCGTAACTAACCTCATCTCAATTACCGCGTTCCCTTGATCGTAACTAACCTCATCTTACTTATGAGGCGAATGATGAGTATGATGAGAAAATGAAACTTCAAGAAAATTAGTTTTTCAACGTAAAATTTTCATGGTCCTTGATTTAAAGAGTTTTATTCCCATATAGAAATGAAAAATTCGATTGCCATAAAAATGAAGTTCGTGTAAGGTGTAAAAAAAATTCTTTTATGAATTTCTACCCGTCTATGATATCAATCAGCATTTACAGTAGCGACGTAGTTGTTTGATATTGGGACATCTCCTGTTTGAAAGGTCAACGCCCGCCGGCTGATCACCTCGCCATTTCACCCTTTTCACAGAACATTACAATACTTCAGGCTAAATTCAGCACT